GCTGAAAACTAAAACATTAAAACGCCTTCATAGGATCTGGGATTGGCTTCAATCTAAAAACAAAACTACATCCATCTAAAACAGGAATTTGGGCTTTAAGTCTGAGTTAAGCAGTTAATTGTGTCGCATAGAGAGAAAACCCAGGGAGCCACATCTGAGGAACCAACTGTGCTTCCTGGGTTCCCCAACATCTCATTATCTGGGATCCACAGGCTCATGCAGCGGTTAATTCGGTTACTTCAACAATGAGGACAGAGAAATGAAGCAGATCCTGGTCAGCAAACATCTTTTTACATTAAAAACAAGTTAAAAAACAATCCACTGATGGGAAGCGTCTTCAAACTTGGAACCATAGTCCAGTGGATTGTTTTTAAGTTTTTTGGATGAACTATGACCTGGATGAATGAGAATCTTCACCAGTGCATCTTACTGCAGTTCAAATAGATTGACAGCAACAGGCTCCTCCTACCTTGATGACCTTGTCGACCTTCAGGTCTTCCAGGGACGGATACAGAGACATTCTGAGGAGAGAAAACAGGCAGCTGTGAGCACAGCGTGTATCTGAGGGGGAAACTTTCTGGGTCAGGTTACCGTCTCATCATTCCTGGCAAACATCAGATGAATAAAATATCTGGATGGATTTCAGCTGCTAACAAACCAACAACTAAACATGTTGGTTCTTTAACACTAATCAGACATTTCATCCAAAATAAACAACTAAAGCCAAATGGAAACACTGACCGCTTCACATAAATGGGCAGAGAGCTGAAGCAAAGAGACTCAGAGCTCTGAGGGTTAGTAAACTATCAAAACGGTAAATTTCCCTCCTAGAAAAATGACTGAGCTCCACAGTGAAAAAACAAACAGCAGCCTGAAAGCAGGACCAGGAAACGAGAGTCAATCAGCTGACGGAGGTTGAGCAACAGTGCAGCAGAGCTGGGCGAGGCTCGGATTATGACAGACAACAAACAGAAGCAGCAGCAGGAGTTACGACTCCCTTAACCACAAAACACGTCTGTTTACTGACAGAAAGGTTAAAGTCCATCCAGCTGACCTCGCGTCATCATCATCGCCATGATGGAAAAACCTTTTCCTTTATTCAAAGCCTGTTGGAGCCATCACCCAGTACTCCAGTTGAGGGGGGATGGCACCACCCTTCTTAAAAAAATCTTAAAAATTATCCCCCCATACCGTCCCCTGTGACAGTTTATTACTGAGTGTGTAAAATTTCTACTATATATATTAACAGTAATGGCAATAAAATGATCCTTTCAATATTTGGTGGTCTGTGGGCTAACGAGTGGACTGAGCAAAATAAATAAACTCAAAGAAGTGACATAGCATGACGATACCAGCTGATCCCAGTGGGAAATGAGTCCCTAACCCTGTAGGGGCAGCGATAGCCATGCTAACTATGTAGGGGCAGTGATAGCCATGCTAACTATGTAGGAGCAGCGATAGCCATGCTAACTATGTAGGGGCAGTGATAGCCATGCTAACTGTGTAGGGGCAGTGATAGCCATGCTAACTATGTAGGGGCAGTGATAGCCATGCTAACTATGTAGGGGCAGTGATAGCCATGCTAACTATGTAGGGGCAGTGATAGCCATGCAAACTATGTAGGGGCAGTGATCAT